TTTATTTATTTATTTATTTATTTATAAATACATTGATTATTATTAGAGAATATTTGACACTGCGATTAATCGACAGTGGATTTTATGCATTTATAAGAAAACGCTTAAATTTACAGCAGAAGCTGAAGGGATAAATCAGTATTTCAATGATAAAATATTTCATTTTGCATAAACATCCAGAGTTCAGCGATTAGAGTCACGCAGTGTCACGGTCCGTCTGAACGTGCGTAAATACAAATATAAGTAGTTCGTACCGGCTTGCAATTAACAACAATCAGATTAAGTCCAATTGGACACGTGCGCTTAATCACCTCCGAGTGGAGCTGATTAGAAACAGCGCGACAGGATGAAATAATAAAACAGCCTCACTCTTAGTATCAGAGGATTCGTAGACTTCGTAGAAAGTAAACGTGACGCACTTAAATAAAAAATAATTTAAATATCGCAAGATTCTTGAATGTCACGTTTAATTCAAATCTGGAATTAGAAAGTTAATAATTAATAAATCGATAAGCGCAGCAATTAAGAGCCTTAACAGTGATATTATGAACTTAACTTATCAGCTACTACCAGAGATAAGGTTCCCCATTGTATGTGCAGAACTGTTCCGCGTTTCGCGAACGAATCATTGTTCAGTCTATTTGCAAGAGCGTTTCAATTTTCTGTTAACATTTCTAGTTAGCAGATCTAATATAAACAGTTCAATACAAGAAACAGTTGAAGTACGTAGATATTGATAGTGTATATAGTTTTTGTAGCTACTGTTAGCTTATCGTTTAATGAATTATTTAACTGCTCCGTGTTTCTTATGGCCGAAGAATGCGTCGAGACGATCACAAGGCGTAAAATCAGTGACAGTGATTTAGAAGGGAATCGACCTTATCGTTTTAACTCGGAGTCTGCTATGGACGTAAGTTTACCAAACAATTCCTGGTGATTCACATTTTTTTATATCATTCTCATGTTCTGACTAAAAATACATTCATAAAATAACCTTTCCTTTAAGTTGATAATCTCATGTTGTCGCTTGTAATTTTGTTGACTGTTTTTCCACGTGTAAACAAGAAATGTGTTTCAAATATCTCTCACTCGGCTGGCTGATAAATGTTTCGTAAAAATCTCAATCAAATCGATGAATAGGAAGGAAATGTACTAGAGTTCAACTCTTTTTCACTGAACTGCAACAAAGCACATTTACGTCTGCGTTATTTATAGAAAAATAAGAACAGTACGTGTAGAAAAGTCGACAGAATATAAAGAAATGATTAGTGACGCTGAGATCTAAAAATCAGACGACTCGATACTTTCGTCGTAACACGTGTAAGTAGAGATTCGAGTTATCGAGGCTCGCCCGTACGCGATCGGTATCGGTAATAGAAGAGACAGAGAGAGAGAGAGAGCGAGTAATACGATATTATCAGGTCAGCCGAAGAAGAAAAAGGGGAAAGGAGAAAGAAAACAAACGTAGATTAGAAATGTGTGTCAGTCAGTCGCGTGTGCGTCTCTCGGGCTCTCAGACGATCTTCTTCGTGTGAACACGCGCGAATATCGTCGCTAGAATCGGAAGAGGAGTTAAGAATAGTCGTACGCTCGAGGCGTGACACGCGCGTAGTAAATGCGCGCCCTGTAAACACGAAACGAGTAGTCGTACAGTGTCGTTTTTCGATATCATATATATGTATACAAATATTGTTCGATTGGCCGCATGCAGATCGAAGGTGACATGACAGGAACCACCGACGTGTTGGTGAGTGTCTCGTTAACAGTTCTCGCGATCGACAGCTATCTACGTTCGTACACTTTCTACGAGAAATCGCGCGAACCGGGATCCCGTGCCGTCCGCTCGGTCTTTTTTCGGCTAGGTTATGTTACCGTGCACGAGGCTGCAGGCTGCACGCGAATGATAACCGATCGACGCTTGCGCTCGCGCGTCAAATTGCTTCTAAGTTTCTAACGTTCACTGCCAAAAATGTATATAGTGACCAGGGTGATTCGCGCTCCGTTTATACCCATAATACGTGTTCTCAACTTTATTTTAAATCAGGTCACACGATATTATTATCTGTCTCACTCGATTATGTTTGATAAAGAAATACAAGTAGTTGAATTAAATTTGTTCGACGCGAGTATGAGAGCAGATCTTTATACGAGATAAACTGTTTGTGGTATCAGTTTAAAGGATGTGTTTTACATGAACATTATTTCGACCATTTGAACAATGAAATATTCATTCAGTTTTTGGTACTCTGAATTGTTTGCACGTACCATTTATTATTTATTATTTGTGTACATGGAATTTTTTTTATAATCACATGAAATCTGAAATGGTGACGGATAAGAGGTTCAATTAAGGATGTATTGGCTATACAGTCAATCCCAAAAGTTTATGTGCCTTAGAAAAACGCATTTCCTATAATTGAAAAGAAATCAGACGTCGGAAGAATAATGCNGATGATAAGTTTTCATGTACTATGCTTAAATTTCGTAGTAAAAAAACATTATAAAAAATTTATGTTCAAAAGTGTCCAGGTACTACTTCCTTTACCTTATTTAAAATGTAAAGAGGTGCAGAAATACGAATTTAAATTCCAGCTACCCTTTCGATGGCGGCTGTGGGGACGGTGTACGGCTGGACGACGACCTCTCTCTCGCGACTCACGTCCAAAGAAGAAAAAGGTATGCCGTTACATTTGACGGACGACGAAGGTTCGTGGATTGTTTCATTGACCGTGATCGGTTCAATGATAGGCCCGTTTCTGGGCGCTTGCCTGGCCGATCGTTTCGGTCGCAAACGGTGCCTGATGCTCTCCAGCGGCTTCTTCATTCTCGGTTGGCTATTGGTACTGTTCGTTAACACCGTAGCGACGCTCTACGTCGCTCGAGTAATTCTCGGTATCGGCGTCGGTATTTCTTACACAACGAACCCTATGTACGTTTCCGAGGTGGCCGATACGAATATCAGAGGTGCCTTGGGAACTCTGATCGCGGTGAACGTGTTCACCGGCTCGCTGCTCACTTGCAGCATAGGCCCCTGGGTCTCGTACAAAGTACTAGCCATGATCCTCTTAGCGATTCCGATTTTGTTCCTCGCGTCGTTCATCTGGTTCCCCGAGAGTCCGTACTTCCTCGCGTCCAAAGGGCGCAGAACCGAAGCCTGCGAGTCTCTGGCGTTCTTCAAAGGAATTCGCGATCCGAACGATCCCGAAGTGAAGAGAGAACTCACCTTAATCCTCCGCGCACTCTCCAAGCAAGGCTCGTACAGATCTCAATCGTCGACGAGTCCCACCCACAGCATGGAGATAATCAAGCACACCTGGCTAGCCAAATTACGGATGCTTTTCTTACCGAACAATTTAAAGGCCCTCTGCATCGTGCTCGGATTGATCGCGGCGCAGCAGCTCAGCGGGAACTTCAGTACCATGCAATACTTAGAAGTCTTGTTCAAGAGAGCTGCGGTCGGGATTGATTCGAACATAGCTACCATCGTCGTGTTGGCCGTAGGCCTCGTCTCAGGCGCTATGTCCATGGCCACGGTGGAAGGTGCTGGCAGAAGGCCTTTATTAATGATATCCACGTTCGGATCCTTTTTGACTCTCGCCGTACTCGCCATATATTTGATGCTGGAGAGTAAAGGGGTGAACGTGTCCGCGGTGGGCGTTCTCCCCGTCGTGGACGTGATCGTGTTCCAAGTCGCGTTCCAAATCGGTCTCGGCACCCTTCCTAATGCCCTCATCGGCGAACTGTTCCCCACGGAGGTGAAAGGAGTCGCCGGCGCTCTGGTTACGATATTCGACGGCACCCTCGGCTTCGTCGTGTCGAAATTGTATCAAGTCATCGGCGACAGCCTCGGTCCTTTCACGGTATATTACTTCTTTTCGATTTCTTGCTTGTTGGCGTTCTTCCTGGTAGTCGTGTTCGTACCGGAGACCAGGGGGAGGACGTATCGCGAGATTCAAGCGTTGCTCGCTGGAGAGAGACTCAGCGACGTCGAAGAGAGGAGCAGAAACGACGCGCCTGAGAATATTTCAGTATGACACCAACAATCGCACCGTAAATCGACTGTACGGTGCACGTGGTTCTATCGTCGTAGTCGTAGTCGTCGTCTTCATATACACGCTTTGTTCATCACGAGGATCTCCAATCTCAGAAGAACGCTTCACCGCGTACTTTGTGAACGCTTAACGACTGTGCATAGGAGAATGACTCAGGAGTATAGTTGTATAGTAGTTTCCGCATTTTATTATTACTTGTATCAGGCAGCAGCGAATAAACGTTTCCCAGTCCCAAATAAATATTTTAACATCATGATTGTACATTGAAGTATTTTTATAATAGTTCAATTGTGCTAAAAATTATTTATCGGCAATTGACGCGTGATGCTTCACTATGTTTTTATATTTAAGTAATTTATGTAATAATATTATTAAATTGACAAGAAAGTAATTTCGATTTTTCACGAATGTGTATGTAGCATAATAAGAAATTGCTTTCTTTTCGACATTAGCTTTAAGTTCAATCGCGATTCATTATAATCGTTTCGCTAGAAACCGAGATATTTTATTTTTTATTCTATGACATTTTATTTTTTAGTTTATGACATTTTTATTGATTATATAATTTTAACTTCTGTATGGTATATTTTATTAAACTGTGACTCTCTCGGCTTCTAGTGAACCGAATTGGATATATTATGTTATATATCTTAGGATATTTCTTGGACATTTGGCTACGATTTCAGTGTTCGGTTATTAAAATAGGTTTACTGTGAATAGGAATATCATGTTCCTCTACACAGGCTTACCTTCCATAATGAGTTTCACTCCCTCAGCGTTAAAAGGCGATCGCTAGGCCCTTATGTCAGGGTGCATAATCAGTTGCACGTATTTTATTTCTGTGTACATTACTTACCATTAGTCTTAAGCGAAATTGTACAGATACTAGATTTTTGTATTC